CAAGGTGTTTAATTAAAAAGAGGCATCCTCCAGGAACAAGACAAGCATTCTGACTAAGAGGTTACTGGCCATGTTGTTTTTTTGTTTGGATTCCTTAGATAAGAGTCAGTTTTTGGGGTTAGGGTTGATGATGAATCCAATGGTCAGCTGCTGGCTGGTTAGACGAATTAACTCTTTTTTATAGAGTTTGATCAGCAAACATCTAAATTCTATACTTATATGCTAGACTGGTTTAAAATGATCCAAGTAATATCTCACGGTCAGCTTTTTCGTACCACTTCACCTTGGGTTAAATCTTTTTTTCCTTTATCAGTTAGTTGCTTCCATAGCGTTTGTTGTCCTTTTGAAAAAGCGTTATTTAATGTGTAAGGTATGCATAGCTATAAGCATCCAGGAAGAACAGTGAACTATCTAAATCCTGTGTGTACTGTTAGCCTATGTATTTATCAGTCAATGAGGGAACTTGGTCAAATTTAGAATGACAGTTCTATGTCAGTGGTGAATATCTCTGTATGCATCTGTCTTTTTTTATTAAAGGTTGTATTTCATCTTTTAACTATCTCATTGATTAATTAGATTATTTGTTTTATGCGTATGTCACATAGGCGTTGTTAGCCCATTTTTGGGCCAACAACACCTTTGCTTCAGCACCCCTAAATTAAATCAAAGCGCCCCTAAAATTGTGTTTTGTTTTTTTCATTATACTGCATGCACTTTTTAAAATAAAAAAAGAAACTTAAATAAATTGTAAAAGCTTTGAAAAAAAAACTATACAGTACTTGGTTTAAAGAATAATATTTTACTTACTTGTTGAAACTTTCAAGCAGGCTCCTGCTGTGAGAGGCAATCATTTATTTCATTGTTTGAATGGTTATGTCATAACTCTCCATAAAACGCCTCAAGCTGTGGAAACATTTCAACATTTCACCATTCCAATCGCACAGCCCACCACTCCAGTTTCTACTTAATTGCTTTGACCTTACTGGAAGAGCTTGTGCCTATCTTCAGCTGTTTACGGGCGAGAGGCGGTGTACACCCTGGACAGGTCGCCAGTCCATTGTAGGGCAACACAGAGACAAACAGGGCAAACAACCATTCACACACACTCACATCTAAGGAGAATTTAAAGAAGCCAATTAACATAACAGTCATATTTTTGGACCGTGGGAGGAAGCCGGAGTACCCGGAGAGAACCCACACATGCACAGGGAGAATGCAAACTTCATGCAGAAAGGCCCCCATCCGGGAATAGAACCCTAAACATTCTTGCTGCAAGGCAACAGTG